TTTCTGTTTTTTTTCTGTCAAGATGGGGTGCTGAGTGTACATTAATGAGAAATAAAATGAACTTTTTTGATTTTAGCAAATGGCTGCAATGAAACAAAGAAATTTAAAGGGGTCTGAATACTTTCCGTACCCACTGTATGTTGTAATATAATGGACATATTTCAATGTGTTTTTTGTTTTGTTTTTTATAATGTCTTGTCTAGCAACTGTAGCAATCAATTTTCCCCAAGGGAACAATTAAGTATTTCTGATTGATTCTGATTTCTGTTTTAGCAAGACTACCAGCTGGAAACCTTCAAAAGAAGGCAAACCGAATTAACTTCTATCATTAGAAGGCCCATCCAAAACTTAAATCCTGGCGCTGTGCCTGCTCCTGCTAAACGATTTACTCGGCGCATACATGTTGTTGGTTGAAAAAACAATTCAGACCTGACAGGAGTCATGACGCAGTGGTTTCCTGGCACAGAAGAGAACAAACCCACATGGCAAATCCACTTTTAACTAGAAGGACGCACTGTTAATAATTAACGTTATCACCTCACCACGTGAATCTCTTCAAAGTAGGATTTCGCAATGGTGGTTTTTCTGGATTGCTTTCTACACAAAAGTTCTGAAGTTACTTCACTATCCTGCACACCTGATACAGTGTTTGTGGTAACTGTTTTGGTACAGCATTGTAGCTCCAGTGCACAAAGAAGGAAAGGGAAAGACAAGAAAACAGCTCTAAAAACCCTAACACAACACACAGAAGGAAACAAACACGTCCAGTTCAGTTCAGCTGTCCCTTGTTTCGTTAGCAGGAACTAATGCATAGAACTGGTGCGTCTGGATCCTAGACATCAGCTTTTATCGCTAACGTTTTCCATGCCGAAGAAGACATTGAACGTCACTTGAAGTAGTGAAAACTAGCAAATCGCTGGAGCATACACACTGTCCAACAGTTTAACGGTTGATCCGCGGCGCAATATAACGTTAGTACACACTTGTTGATTGCGCAGTTGGCCGATGTCCAGCTCTTGTGGTCTGTGTGGCTAACTCTACCTTGTTATAGTGAACGTCGGGCTGGGTGCTGGGTGTCGGGATGGCGGCCGCAGAGTAGTGACACACCGACAGTCGGTTCAGTCTGGGAAATGTCCGAGACAGCACGGTACGGATCATCATGCTTCTTCCTGCACACCAAAGGACACTGACACAGTCCGCTTGCAGCCCAGGCAACGGCGAACCGGACAACCCTTCCCCCCTTCCGTTGCGTCATTACGCAACATTACGAATAAACGCCCAGTTTTTCTTCTTCTCTACGTTGCATTAATTAAAAAAATTAAGATTAATTCAGATATAAGTGTCTTTTTAATAAAACCCCGAGAATTATGTTTATTTATACCATGTGTTTAATGTTTACATGAGACAAAAAATGGCTGCAGACAGATATATACTGTATATATTATATACTGTCAGTGGTTATGACACACAATATCTTGTGTAGGCTTTATGAGGACATAGTTCCAACACAACCCAGTTAGATAAGCGCACATGGAGTTAATGTACTAAACAATGGTTAGTGTGTCCTACTTGTTTCACTAAAGTCACAAATAATGCTGAAATTAATTTAAGAATTTGACAAAACGTGAGTTAAATTGTACTTAACATACAACATTCTGAACCATCTGTGTTTTGTGGCCACTGAAGTAAAGTGGTGGGCCCTTGTCACTTCGTCATACTTTTATATGTAATGCCTTTCCTGTGAATATTGATCAGAGATGAGTATTCCAAATATTTTTATACAATTATCTGTCTATATAATGTATTTTTATCATTTTAACAATCATACATACTTAATAGGCTTTTTTTTGTCAGGTTCAGTGTTTTCTTCTCATGTTCTATTAGCTCTTTGGTTGTTTGAACTTTTCTAATGCAGGGCAACACTGTTTGCGAAGAGATTCGTTCCTCACTTGTTTCTTAATCAACTAGTCTTTCACTATTTATTAGCTACGCTATAAAATGTGATTAGGAATTACTCATTAACTAATGGTTCACTAGCAGCTGGTTCCTCATTCATTCCTCATTTGTTCCCGGGTATGGGACAGCAGTAGTTATATCTGTAGGGACTTGGCTTGGGAACCAGCGGGTCGCCAGGTCAAGTCCAGCACAGACAACAGTATGGAGTGTTTATGTACGTATTTACCACATTGTCAGACTTGAACCACAACAGAATAATGCAGCTTGGCTGTGGGTATAATTCTATTTATATCTATAGATTTCAATGGGGATAATGCATTTTATTATCTTTTATTTTGGTAACAAACACATTTTGACAACATAGACAACGAAGCTGTGTCACTCAATTTTACAGCTGAACAGGCTATGTAGGCCATCAGTGAACAATGTGCCTTCACGTAAGCAAACATTTTATACAACCTTTACAGCTTGAAATTGTTTATCTTTCCTTTTAAGTCTTTATGAATAGACCCCCAAAATTATAGTCTGATACTGTCAACAGCCTTGGCACACGCTCTAGGTGAGCCCCATGACAATATATTTAAACAGATAATGCATTAAATCCTACCTTTTTTTCCTTCCTATGCGTTTTATTTATTTAATTATTTGTATTTTGTCTATTTCAGTTATTGTTAAACTATGGTGTGTGTGTTTTTTTAATGAAATAAATGAATTTAAAAACATATAATACTATCAAAATATTACAACATTTCGAATAAAAATACTTAAACTATGAGATCGCTGGATATTTGAATGTATTGTTTGATTATGTATTGTGAAGAACTTTGTCTGTTTCAAGATGAGGTGCATAAATGAATCATTGATCATCCTTCTTCATTTAAAAATAATGATTGAAGTATTACTGTGATAATGGTTTACATGTACATGTATTGAATCAGTGGCAAGGGTGCTATATATAGCCACAATCGTGTGTGCGCCACGCCTAATGATAACTGTTCTGATACTGTTGCGACATGATCACTTTTTCTACTTTGCTCTTTATTTAATTGACAGGTCTAATGAGTGATGGAGCGTACACAAGCAAACGGATGTTTAAAGGTGTTTCTACATCCATTTATTAATTACTGTGTGAGTGGAAATGAAGCTGTGCCCACAATGATTTAGATGTATAAAGCAGAATCAGGCCTACTTCATTTTATATGTGCCATCATGGGGGGGGATATCGCCTCCGGTACGCTAGGTGGCGGTATGAACCTTAACATTTGGGATTGCAATTTGCCAAAAAACGCAAAGAAGACGATGATTTCCCCCAGGTCGTACAGTGCAGTTAACTTAGCTTGTTGATAATTATTTATTTTTTAAACATGTTTATTCCTCGTATGTAACTAGCAGTAGCGTAGAAATCAGTAAAAGAAATTCACAGCGGTAAACGTTAACGTTAGTGATACAGTAAAGCTAGGCTTATTGCTAGTTTAGCAAGCTTCTAGCTAACGCTACCTAGCTTAGGCAATAGCCCTAGCGTGTTAGGGTAACTTGGTCAGCAAGAGGCAACAATTCATATCGAAAGCGTCGAAATTGCAGATAAAGGTAAGTTTATCCTATCACAATCGTGCAAACAATGCACACTATGGTCCACAGTGCCTTAGAAATCACAATGCAAATGACTAATAATGTCACGTTTCAGTGTAAATCACTTAACGTTAAGGAAGTTTAAAGCTAACGTTATAACTTTTATGCAGCGTTATATTATTTAGGCTAAAGAATAAGTGTGGGGCCTTTTGCTAATTCATGTTCTTTGTTTTTAGAAGGAAGTGCCATAAAAGGTTGTTGTGCTCAACTTCTTTTATTTGAGAGAATAAGTAAAGCTACATCACACACAGCTGTGGGGTCCGATCTGCTTAACCTCCGAAAGCCCCGCTGGATCAGGGGCCCGGAGCACAGTGTGCTCCTCCTGGAACTATACGTCTGTATTCTGGTGCATCCTTTCTGATTGCGCGGTAGTGAGTCACTACTCTCGATTCAACCTCGGTTTTGGCAGCAGGCGCTTTTCTGTTATGAGTACAATTACTCTTCAGACATTTGTGTCTATCTTTTGCTGCACCTGTGTCCAGCTATCGAAGTAGAGCTAAAGACACAAAACCAGATTCAACTATCCCAGGCTTGAGCTACTACTCGGAGTTGGATCCAAGAGCAAAAGGTGCGCTTGCTAGTGCACCATTAGTTATTGATTCTTTGATTTGATTGAGTGAGTGATTATAGCTCAGGGAGACTGTTCAGAAATCCTGAAGACAAATGCCATGAAGATGAACAGGAAGGATTTGTGATCGTGTCAGCAGAATATCTCTTTGTATAGTGTTCTTTAGGTTTTCACCACACCCAGTATAACAAACCATTTTCACATATGTTTTGTTGAACAAATATCTCACACTAAGAGGTTATTTTATCTTGTGTGTCTGAAGTATCCAGTTGCTGCATTGCTGTCATTTCACTATATTGAATATCTTTGATCAATGTTTTTGTCTTACAGTATGACGCTGAAGTCAGGAGAGGAGCGTCTGAAAGAGATGGAGGCTGAGATGGCTCTGTGAGTACCACCTCTTAGGTTTGGCTAGCTCATCCATATCCCAACATCCTAACATATCCATAAAAACACGTAACTCTGTAAACACAAGTTACAGAGTTTACATTTTGTTGCTTCAACATGTTCAGCCTCCTTTGTAACTGCACTCTTTCAGTGGGATTTTAAGAAGAAATAAAAGCAAGCAGCGATGAACGGGCCCTCGCACTCCACGCATGTCGGGGTGTGCCACAGTTGGGTTATGCACCAGTACATCATGCCAACACTAAGCTATGAAAATTTCATAGAAATCTCATCAAAATTGCCACACAAGACTTACTTCACCTTGCCAGTAGGTGGTGCTATGACAGCGACTGAATATTGGCACTTAGATGCATTTAGGGCAGGACTCTTAACAAACTTGTGAAGTTAGGTCCAAATGGAGAATCGGTAGGGTAAGCAACAGGGGTAGGGTTAAAGTTTCCATTGTCATGTCAAAGCAGATTTTTGAAGGGATGTCACAGACACAATTTGAACTGAATGTAAAGATTTTGAACTCATCCTGAACTTCTCTAAATTGTATTCACCAATTTTAAGGTCATTCTGATCAATTTCCTAGGAGTCATGGCATCAGAAATTGACATAATATCCATATCCATAATAGCAAACTTCCTGTTGGATTTAGCATATGGCTCCAAGAGGCTTTTTTGTAGACCCTGACATACTCTCATATGTACCAGTTAAATGGGATGCTGGGGCTGATTTTGTAAGTGTTTTATGCCTATATCATGGAGAAATGTAATCTTTCACGCCACGTCACAGCTAAAAGTTGTGCTCCTCATTGAATTTTCATTTTTATTCATGAGTAGCACAAATTTTAATCTTTAAAATGTCTTTAAAATGTGCTCACCAATTTAAAAAAAAATAAAAAATACGTGCCACATTCACCCTTTCACACACATTCACTCAGTGACGGTAAAGTCCATCGAACAGAAACTAACTCATACATATTCACACACTGATGCACAGCATCAGGAGCAATTTCAAGTTCAGTATCTTGCTCAAGGATACTTCGACATGTTGCGGGAGGAGCCAGGGATCGAACCAACAACCTTCCAATTAGTGGTCGACCTGCTCTTCCTCTGAGCCACAGCTGCACCAGTAAGGGGCGCTATGAGTATGACTGAATATTGTCACGTGGCTGTGTTCAGGCCGGGACTCTCATCAGACATGTGCATTATGGTGCAGATCGGACAAAGTACACTGAAGTTATGACAACTTCCTGTTTTATGGCGAAACGTCAAATCTTGGTGCCACTCCAGAGACACACCCTTCAATGAAAACTCACTAATAGCACAACTTTTAATCTGTACATTGTACTGACCAAATTTGACAGCGATCTGATTAATTCCCTAGGAAGAGTTTAAGGCAACATGTGCTTTCGGGATATGGCTTCAAGAGGATTTTTTGTAGGTCAGGACTTTTCATACTCCTAGGTGAAATGTGCTGTTGGGGCCGCTCAATAGGGTGCGCTGTCGAGCCATTTTTTCACGCATATGTTCGAGACCCTTAAAATACTTAATTTTCCGCCACAAATGACATGTGCACAGAGTTTCATGAGTTTTGGGATATGATAAGGCCTCCAAAAAGGCAATTAATTGCGGAGAAAAATAATAATAAGACCTCCAACACAGATATTTAGCTTGCTACATATTTTTCTGGTGTTGGTGGCCGGGGCATCAGCTAGCTCTTGTTGAGTCTGCATGTCATGTCGTTGAACAATTCACACAACTCGATCCTCCTCACGGGAGCGAGTGCCAATTAGCCTCTTGTACTCCCTGGCCGCCATTCATCCTTTCTCTTCAATTGCAACAGTCGTCTGTCCTGCAGCTGAAAAACGCCCATCAGCAGCCAGTGACTGCTGCCACCGACCCATCCCGGTTTCCTGTTGGGATTGTATCTGGCAGGTGATGAGCAGCCCTGCTGCTTCTTCTCCCCACACTACCGCGTCTAGAATTAACGCAAAAAGCTTCAGCTGTTCAGTGTCTGGTCAGACCAGAGAACTTCTTTCATCATAGTCTGAGTCATACATGTGTTTCCTTTGGCAACTCTAGGCGGGCTTCATATGTCGTGCATGACGGAACGAGGCTTCCTCGGCCCACTCTGCCATGAACCACGCCCCGACTGGTGGAGCGGCCTGCAGTGAACTAGTTGACTTTGTGCGAACTTTCGTCCCATCTCCTTACTGCATCTCTGAGCCCAGCCCACAGTGATCTTGTTGGGTTCTCTTTTACTCTCTCACCAAGGCTCTCTTCTCCCACGCTGTGGTCTCATGTTTGGCTGGACGGCCAGGTCCTAGAGGACAGAGTTCTGTCGCTCCACAACCTTCTTCCGACTTAAGGCGATTATGGAGGCCACTGCTGCTCTAAGAACCTTGAGTGCGTAACAGACCATTCTTTGTGTAACCTTGGGCGCGGAGTGCTGGGGCTTGCCACAGTTGACTGTCTCCGCGCTCCTGGGCAGTTCTTCGACCGTCATCGATATATTCTTCAATTGCTCTCGCATGCGCACCTCTCGCCTCGTTCAAGGTCCTTACTATTACCACCGCGCTGTCGCTCCTTCCTAATCCAACACCTCCAACTCCGTCCTCAACGTGTGAAACACAGCTGCGACATCATGAAGCGAGCAGAACCCATCAAGAGGATCAGAAGGAAGCCTGGACAGCATGGTGAGTGTCAGAAAGGGTCTGAATACGCTCTATCCGCACCACCTGTGACCTACTGTACTGCGGAGTGGTCGTGCTCGGGAGGCGCAGCATCTCAGCAGCTGCGAGCCGGGAACGACGGACACCCCCACCGCCCCCCCCCCCACCGCCGGAAAACTGATCAAGAAGGCAGCCTCGTGGCCTCGCCGGTTGCCCCTCCGATCAGTGCCGGTCGGGTGGGAGACGGGACTGATAAATCCCCCATCCACGGCACACAATGCATGCCACTCGACAGCTCCTTCAGCCCAGGACTCCTTCAACCCCAAACTCGTGTGAAGGCGAGACTTTGCGCTCAGGTCCTCTCCTCTCCTGCCTTGCTGTCAGACTATACTTAATAACCAGCACTGCTCCAGTAGACCGCCCCCATCAACAACTCGTGCAGATATTTCACTGTACCTCGCTGCTGCCTCATATTCCAATACTCACCCACCTACGTTTGCCTATGGCTTCTTTTTGTTTCGTGTGTGCTTACTCGTCGTTAGCCTCTGATTCGCCTCCGCTACTGCCTAGATCCCTTACTTTTCTTTCCTCATTGCTACATAGTGTATTTTCTACTTTCTTATGCTTTCTTCCCTACCTTACTGCTTCGCTATACCTCTCTCCATCTTTTTCTCTATCCACCGTTTGCTGCTGCAACCCGGAATTCTCCCCATTGTGCACAAATAAAGGAATATCTTATCTATCCTTATCTTCTACTATTCGTCTTCTTCTTTATAAATTCTGCAAAAATTTCTACATTTCCTCGTTTTTTTCTGTCAACCCGCCTCGGCCGTGCTGATGTAGTTCCAACTCCCCGAGCAACTAAATGAAACTCTTTTGACTTTTAGCAAAATGGCTGCACCTCGCCAAGAGTGCACAAACTCTTAAGGCGGTCTGCAATACCTTTCGTC